CTACTGCACTCTAGCCCAGGCAACAGAGTGAGACTCTGTCTCAAAAAGAAAAAATAAATAAATAAAAATTAAAAATATTTAAAAAAACCCTCAAATAACCAGAACATTTCTTTTTTCCTCTTTTCCCCAAATATCTTCATTGTCAGTCGCCTCAGTTAAGTGATAATCCACATGATTGTAAATTTCAATTAACAGGAACATTCTTTTTAATTCATCCTCCCAAACTGTCTTCTTTTTCAAACATCCTAGACAGGTTTCAAAAATAAATGTAAATTGAAGAAAATCTAGTTTTAGAAATGCTCTGAAAGCTTCCACAGGGAGAAGCTTAAATATGGTCTTCAAAAAGCTGTAATAGAAAGGGGATAAAATGTTGACGTTTCTTGAGAATCAAAAACCAAACTGCAATGGAGTATTATTTTGAAGTAGTGGCTCCTGTTGAACCTCTGCCCATGGCACCACTTAGCACTCTGCAGGTTGGAAACTAATCAGACTTGAAATTATTATAAAATAGAAAGACCCTTGGAGGACTTATTCCACAATAATGATGGCTGGGTTATAAACTCCCCCTCCAATTAATTTTATTGTTTTGGTTGATGAAATCACAAAAGTGAAACGAACCTGAAAAAACGAGTACTGTAGCCAGCAGGAGCCACAAACCTAATGTCTCAGCTGCTTAGAAAAGGAAGATGCAGGATGCAGAGAATTGGCTTTGAGGATAAATATTGAGGCTGAGACGCATCCATCAGAAGGGATTTTATTTTTCATACGCAATCAGATCAGTCTGAATATATTTCATTTCCTACTGTGAGTGGAAAACATTCTCAAGCTAGAATCAATAATTCTAGAGTCTTTTATTAAATTTCTTCACTCACCTTCCATAGGGGTGTTGCTGTCAGGTCGATTTGCAAAGACCACATCCACATACTCGAGCTGCAGCCTCTGGAGGGAACCCTTCAGTCCTGGGAACAGAAGTAGGAAAAAAACCCCAAAAGTCCAAATATGAGCACTATTAGAAAGAGTTGAAGTTTGGTTTCTTTCAAGAGTTTGCTTTAGAAAAAATAGCATTGGATTAGTTTAAAAAATACATTGAATACAATGATTTGTTAATTGGCCCCTAGAACCTTTTTAGTATATATTAAAGGCTGACTACCCTCAACACAACTTTTTCAATATTAACACTCTCACTGCAAAATACTTACTTAGTAATTATCTTTCACAGTGACTTGTGTGTGGCAATATCCAGAGGCAAAACTTAGCATAAAAAGCAGCTTCTCTTCAAGAGTGTATTTTTTTCTTCTTGAAGAATGCAAATTAATTGTTTACATTTTGGATTACTTAATGGGCTTATAGTGGGCTGGAGAGATACTTATTGCACATCAGACCTATTAAAATGATATAAATCCGAAATAAATTACTGCCTTAACCCCATCTTAATGTATGTGTTGGTTTTAATAGTAATATAAAGGGGTTAGCAAATAAAGGCTTTACTCAATGTTTAACTAATTGGAACAAAGTTTAAGGAACATGAAATACAACTGGGCTCTACCATTTCTATTATCTCCCATTTCTGGGAAGAAACAAAAACATCAGAAGCTATAAAGACTTAAGAGGTAATGTAAAGGAGAAAGCGAGAACTTAAAAAAGAAATCTGGAACCAACAGCCTTTGCTTCAGCCCTAATCATTTGGTCACATTCCTATGAGTACTCAGAAAAAAAAAATTAATTTCAGTAAAATTAATACTTCCCTGAAATAGAATGTGTTGTATATAATATTATTCAACCAAAAGGACGACGGTGTTCAAGAATCATTTTATCTCATTTCCATGAGGCACAGCATTTCCTTATCAGCCTCTTTAATTCCTCAGGGAGACCAGAGGGTTTTTTTCTCTTTTTATTATATGCATAAAATTAATTGCATGTTAAATGAGGCTCTTATAAATTTAAATTTGGCTCATTTAAATTTGGTTTTTCATACTGGTTTATCAGCCAGCCACAATTACTTTTCTGACAGGAAAATGGAGTGCTTGAATATAGTTCCGGAAATATTTTCCATCCATTGAGAAAGGATTGTCTGTGATGGTAGCTTGTTAAAAGCTTTGATGAAGCGATTAGGTCAGACAGGTGTTATGAAGTCTAATGCCTGCTCTTAAAAAACTGTGGAGACTCTCAGGCCTGGAGCATCACCAGCTATCTCAAGGGGCAGCTTGAAATTAAATTTACCTTGAAAAGTACCATGGTGTGAGCCAATTTCTGGAACAATTGTATGTAGGGAGGAGGTAAGAAGAGGACAGGATAAGCAAGCAAACAAATAACAGGGTATGCCAGGTTGCAAGGTTGAGCAATCTGCACCCTAGCATGCTTGTGATCCCACCTGGCTTCTTTGCCCTTTTTTGGTGACTCGGTTCTCTCATCTGCAGTGGGGCTAAAACATTTACCACCTTCAGAATTGCTGCTCCAGAGAGCACTGCGTAAGAGAGTCTATAGCAATGTAATGTGGTAATTATACTGTGGTGTTAGTATCTGGAAAGTTTCAGAGGGAGACAGTCAAAGACTAAATGACCAACATTTTCACTAGACTCATGGTTTTGGAGGGAGGCACTTAATGAACGTTCTAGCCCGTGCTTGGCATTGGAAACAAGTGGTGTCCTTTCTTCTGATGAAGGCCCCCTCCCACCGAGTCTCTTCCAACAGCTCAGTGTGGGCTGAAAGTAACTAGGGGAAGTAGCTAACTTGGTGCTATTGTAACTGTGTGATCAGCCTTTTCACAGACTAGGCATGACTTCAGTCATTTACTCTTCCATGCCACTAGCATGTGTTGAGTCCCAGTTTGATCCTGAAACTCAGCCAGACTCTGGGGGTTTGAAGATGCACAGACACAATCATCATCCCTACAGAGCTCACAGTGTATATTAAGAGCATCAATTGGCGTAGATGTATTGTTCAAGGTCATAACGTGTACCCATAAATAATGACATGGGGCTGGGCGTGGTGGCTCATGCCTTTAGTCATAGCACTTTGGATGGCTGAGGCAGGAGGATCATTTGAGTCCAGGAATTTGAGGCTGCAGTGAGCTATGGTGGTACTACTGCACTCTAGCCCAGGCAACAGAGTGAGACCCTGTCTCTGGGAAAAAAAAAAAATGACATGGACTTGGTACAAAGGTCAGTCTCATTGTATAATATTTGGTCATTCCTTACCTCTTAATTCTTTATTTGGAAAGTGCTTTTTCTTGATATTTGGGCAGCATCTCAAGTGTACCAGGCCAGTGATCCCTACTCTGACTTTGAAGTAGAGCGAAAAGAGATTGTGCCCCTAAGACACACTATCCACTCACTTTGAAAATCTCTATCACAGAAAGTCTTATGATCCATGGTATGAATTTTGGATTCTAGGTGAGATTTTAAGCCATTGGCAGGGGGTTGGGGGTGGGTAGTAAAGAGGAGGGAATTAAGCAGATGAAATAATATGATCAGATTTCCCTTCTGAACTGATGGCTTTGCCTGCTGAGAATGACCTGAAGTGGTGAGACTGAGAGCAGGAATAGAGACCAGTGAGGAGGCTAATGCAGCCAGTCAAGTTCGGGCAAAGTGGGTAAGAAGTGAGAAAATTCAAGACAGGTTGTGTAAGTGGAAATAACTGGACTTGGTGGTGTGCTGGATATACAGGGTGTAGAGGTTAGAGTAATCAAGGATGACTGCTAGAGTTTTGACCTGAAAAGTGAGGTGACTGTTACGAAGATGGGGGAAGTCAGGGAAAAAGCAGATGGGAGGGGGTGGTGGAGCCAAGTCCAAAGTCAAGTCCAAGAGGCACATCAGTCCCCACATGGAGCTCTTGGCAGCCGGAAGGACCAGGCTGGCACTCAGAGGAGGTGAGGGACAGGGTTATAGATTCTGGCTGTCCTGAATGACCTTGCGATGTCTTTTAGCCTCTCTGAGCCTCAGTTTCCTCATCTGTCCAAAGACAAAATGGAGCTAGATGATCTTCCTGCTTTGATGTTTCATGTGACTGCAAACCAAATCGGGAGTTTCTGCCTTTTTCTATCTGGATGCTTTAATCTTGTAGAAATAGGTAAGCCATAGCAATATAAAGTCATGCTCAACAAATATCTCCTTAAGAGCCATTTAGTGTTAAGCTCCAATCAATAAGTATTCCTATTCTATCTCCATTTAGCAAATGGAGATTTGCTGTGGTTTGTTGAGCACTGGCTTGGGGCCAGATATTATTTTCAATTGAAGTAGACATGCAAAAGTGCGTTAACCTTGGACCCAAGGGGCAGCTGGACAGCTAATCCTAACCCACAGAGGTAAGTGCTCCAGTGCAGTGAATGCACTTGTTGAAGGAAATTTGACATTAGCCTGTCCCTTGGCAGTAACCCGGTGTCTGTGGGAGCTGAATATGAGAAGGAGAAATGCTCCTTGCCCTTGAGGACATATCTAGAAGTTAACTGGCAGTTCCTCAAAAGTCCACAGGATAATAAATTACTTAAAGAAAATCGCTTTCAAGTGACTACAGTAAAAGGAAACCTAAGTCCATTTTTCCTTTTAGGTTCTGAAGTTTAACAGAAACCATATTGTTTAGAAGGTTAACCTTAATTCAACTTAAGCCTATTTCACAGGTTTCTAAGGAAATATGCTTATTCCAGACGGTAAGCAGATTGGCATGGTCAGAGGTGGACTGGGTGTTCAGTGTTGCCTTTAACTGCGCAGAAACAGGGAAATCAGTAGCTTGGAGATTCTGCAAGAGGTCTACTTAAATACAATGTGCCGTCACCTTTTACACCTCACATGCAGTTGCTTTTCTATCTAGCTTGCGAAAAACATATGCCTTAAATAATGTATGCTGTTTCTCTATATAATTTCCGGTTTCTTCTCAGCAGACCTCTCATTCATAATAATTTAAGTGACATTTGCTTCTTTTTAAAAAGGCTGTGCTGTATTGGAACATATTCTGTATGGGGCTGTGCCTCCTATTATGAAACATGGTTGTCCTGGGTGGGTGATGTAAGTTTGCATGAACATGGTACAATAGGAAGGAATCCTGTGGTGCATCCATTTGTTCAGAAATTTATTCTTTAATTGAAAGATCATAAATTATCTTTTTCTTCTAAAGTTGAGAAAGTAGGTTTTAAAATTTGTTATTAATTCAAAATTTTCAAGCAGAGCTTTCCCAGATTGTTTTTCTTTCCTACTCCTAAAGCAATGATGGAGAATTTGTGTTTTGCATCACATAAGAACACTTGTTTATCTGCAAGGCAAATGCAGACTTAGACACAGCTTTTCACTGTTTAAGTACACAAACGATTTACTTATTCTTAGAACATAACTTACCAAACTATTTTTATTCCTTTATGTAAGGCACTAAAGGAATTTGATCTGGTAAATTCTCACATTGGCTCAAATTGGGGCTTAATGAATGTTTGTGGAATGGCTAAATGAATAAATTGAATTTTACAGCCTGACAGGAACTTGGGATTCTATATGAGTGTAATAAATCTATTAATGAATTTTCTTTTCCCTCCCTGTGAATCTAAGGAGAGCAATACACTTAACTGAATCTAAATCAAGAACTTTAGGCTTATTGAAAAGGCCTTTCATGTGAATTTTTTTAAAAATTACATTATGCAGAAGTCAAGCTCATTTTACACTCTTTAAAGCAACTCAAATGGCCAAGGACACCAGCCCACAAGCAGCCTGAATGCTACATCAGTTTGGACTTCTGTCTTATCCTCCAACAGCGCTTCTCAAATTTGATGTGCACATGAATCTCCAATATTGAGTAAGGTCACCCTCATCACAGAACAAGTATTAATGAATCTCAAGGATAGTGATTTGTAAACTTCTCTAAACTTTATTTTGGATCTCATCTCCTGTCCCTCCTTTTCTGCAAAATCCACTCAATTCCCTGATTGAGTGCCTAGAAACATCCTTTGAGCTGATTCCCTTGTACTTACCAGGCTTTATTTTTTGCTAAAACTATGGACTGCAAAATAACAACAGCAATGATGACATAATAATAAATTATCCCAATTCTTCAATCTCAAAGGTTTGAAATTTTGTGTTGAAGTTTGAATCTGGGTCAGCTTGAATTTCAGCTGAACTGGTTTATCCATCCCGAGAGATTAGTTCCTAAGAAAATTTCTAACTTCTTTAAAGGAAGAGGGAATTTAAGGTATTTCTATTATGTTGTATGAGACCTGAAGAAAGCTGATTAAAGAAAGAGAAAATTCTGAAATTATGCACACACTGGTCAATATCAAAGCAGTGGAGATTCAATAAAGAGTATAGCAGCTGACTGTTTCCCTTCTTTTTCTCTTGGGTTTTATATTTCTTTGTTGATTGTTATTTTCTGAGTCTCTATTTTCTAATCAATTAGATTAAAAAGTAAAGGGGAAAAAAAAGACAATTTCAGGCAGCATACTGCTGTCCTGTTCATTCCACTTGATACTATAAGCCAACTTGGGTTGTCACTGACAATCCCTGAGGTAGAGGACTCAAGTCACGGGGGCAAATGCTAGAGCAGGAACGGTAACAGTTTTGAGCGGCAGGTTGGGTTTGACTTTACAATCCCAAATGGGACAATAAGGCCTGAGAAGGGATTCTGTTTGGGTGAAGAGTTGGGATGCTTTCTCTAGGGCTAGAAGGTTGCCCTTCAATGTGGCAGCCTCAGACTGTCACCTACTTAGTAAACAGTGTCCTTATCCATAGAATGAAGACAAGCAATTGTACTTATAAGACCAATGATGATGATGATGATGATGACAATAATAACATTTATTAAGTCCTTATTATGTGACAGACCCCGTGCTCGATGTGAATTATATAATTTCAATCCCAATAGAGTAAGTCTATGAGATAAGAATATTTATAGTCTATTTTACAGTCAGGGAGGCAGAGGCTAAACAGGTTAAGTAACTTGTACGAAGTCACCCAGCTCATAAATGACAGAGTTGGAACTTGAACAAAGGTCTGTCTGATTTCAAAGCCCATATGCCTACAAATATATTAAAAATCAGTTAGTGAGAAATACGAAACTCATACAAAGAACTTTGAAAACAATGGAATGATATGATTATTACTGTGTACATATATATATATGCACTATGTATACATAGTTATGTGTATATCTATGTATTTTATATATATTCTAAGATCTAGCTTCAAAAGTCTCCATTTTAAATTAAATGATTGTGATTGAATACTGGAACTATTTTTTTTTCTACTGCAAGTCTAAGATATTTGAAAGTAATGCTATTTATAGGTTAATAAAGATCTTCAACTTCCAAACTGGAATGAATATTCTCAAATTAAACATTATCATTTAGATTAGGTTCATGGAGAGAAAAAAAGTTTATAATGAAATAACAGTCTGGGCGAAAAATATTTGCAACACAGATAAACAACAAAGAGTGAACATTGATAATATAGAAATAATTTGCTCCTGCAAATTATTAAGGCCAAAACAACTCAAAAGAAAAATAGCTTAAGAACATGAAGAGTTAATTCCCATAAAAAAGAAGCACAAATTTACTAAAAGAAGCTCAAACTCACTAAAAAAAACAGTTCATCTAACAGATTGGTACAATTCTTTTTAGAAAATAATTTTGTGTTAAAATATGTAAAATTCTTTGACTTAACAATGCCACTTCTAGAATCTATCCCATTTACATAAGGATGGTCACTTGTGTAATTCTTTATAATGCCAAAAACTTAAAATAACCCATAAGTTGTGTGTGTAAAATGTATTTTAATTGGGGAAAAAAGCAAGGCTTAGGTTAGTATTTATACCCTGATTCTATCGATTTAATACATTTATTTTCATATTTTTAAGTATTAATATAAGTGAGTATTCAGATGGATTGATGGACAGATAAGACAGTGTCACTGCAGGGAAAAGGAAGGAAGGATGTGCATCAGATTGTCCAACTATGGGATGAGATGAGATTGGATGAGCAAAAGGAGGACTTTACTTCTTTATTTTTATTTATTTATTTATTTATTTATTTATTTATTTACTTTTTAGAGTCCAGTGCTAAGCAGAGATATTTTTATTTTTAAAGTGGTAGGATTAAAATACATTTTATATTTTTGGTTATGTTGATATTTCATAAATAAAATTATTTTTTAAAAGGGAGAAAATCACTACCTGTCTCAATAATCAGTCATAAATCTAAAGTTACAAAAATGTTGCATTTTTGTGAAAGGCAGATGGTACACAACTTATGATGGTTTGACTTAATGATTTTTCAACTTTATGGTAGTGCAAAAGCAATCTGTATTCAGTAGAAACTATATTTTGAGTTCCCATACCAATTATGCTGTTTTTCACTTTCAGAATGGTATTCAATAAATTACATGTGATATTCAACACTTTATTGTAAAATAGGCTTTGTGTTAGATGATTTTGCTTAACTGTAGGCTAATGTAAGTGTTCTGAGCACATTTAAGGTAGGCTAGGCAAAACTATGGTATTTGGTAGGTTAGGGGTACTAAATGCATTTTCAGTTTATGGTATTTTCAATTTATGATGGGTTTATTGAGACATAATGCTATCAAAAGTTGAGAAGCATCTGTACCTTACAAACTAGTATAAAGATGTTGGAAATATATGGCAGCCCCTTTTAACATTTTTTCTTTATTGGAAAAGGTATAAGTGTGAAATTGTAATAAAGACAAGCAAGATATAAATAAAAATTATAGTCTTCACAAAGAAGTAGAGTAGTAGTATTCTATTACATAATGGTTCTTGTAGACTATTTTATTTCCTGTTTATTTCTAACCTATACAAAGTTTTGAATACCATTTCCAAAGTAATGACACTGTGAATCAATTACCCAGTGGTAATTTTCTACAAGTTTTTTTCTATGCATACGTATATACTTTTCAAAAAATGCATAGTGGTCTCAACATATGTCTACACAAGAACTTGTAAAAAAATGTTCATAGCAGCATTATTCATACGTAGTAGCCAAACAGTGAAAACAACCCAAATATACATTAACTGATAAATGGATAGACAAAATGTGGTACATCCATATAGTGGAATATTACTTGGCAAAAAAAGGAATAAAGTACTGGCATAACATGAATGAACATTATGCTAAGTGGAAGGAGCCAGTCATAAAATATGTATTATAGGATTTCATTTATATGAAATGTCCAGAATTGTCAAATCTATAGAGACAAAAAGTAGATTTGTGGTTGCTTCAGGCTGTGGGAGGGGTTGAAGAGGAAGTGAGTTCTAGTGTGTACAAGGTTTCTTTATGGGGTGACAAAAATGTTTTAACATTAGATTATGGTGATTGGTGCACAAGTCTGTAATTATGCTCAGAACCGATGAATTGTGCACTTCGAATGGGTAAACGTTTATGGTATGTACATTATCTCTCAATAAAGCTCTTTTAAAAAGTCTTATGGAAGTGTTTCATTAATATTAGTAGTAGCTGCAAATGAGAAGAGTTCTAGACAATTTGGTCTTTTTCTTTTGAGTTTCCATTCTCACCTCTACATCTCTGAGTTTCTTACACCCTTAACCCCAGGAACAAGCTTGGTTGATTGTGGTTCTTTCCATATAGAATTTTTTCTCCTTCCAGTGTATTTTGAACCTATTTAGTTGATATCTTTCTTGAACCACGAACCCACAAACAAAAACAAAATCGAAGCAGCGATACCCACCTTCAATAATATGCTTTCTTGACAGCCCTCTCTCTGTTTCAGCTCTGCCAAGAAAAAGAAGCAAACGACTTTGAGTGGGGGTGTGCTTTTTTTAAAAAAAACTTCTGTTTCAAAAGGGCAAAAGAATAACCATTCTTACTTAGACTGAGTTACTAATTTTATATCTTGTTCTCAGCAAATTCTGCACCACTGGAGACTGAGGAGAGAAGGCTGGTGGGCAACACACGAAGCCCTTTTTCTTTGAAGACCCAGGAGGTGGATTAACCGTGGCTGTCACCACAACAGTAATACTGCTCAGCACCAGGTCAAGTTAGTAACAAACTCAGCCACACACACCCTGTCCATATATAATTTGAGACACTGTTAAACCCTCTCACCTTGTTCTTAACCAATCTAAAGCCAAAAAAGAAAAAAAATAGGTTTGACATAGGTTTGTTTGTGAGTTTACTGTAAGATGGCCAGGATGCTGATATCATTAGCTTTTCTGAGAAAGGAAGAAAATTTGGAAGTTTCTTTAAACTTCTAAAAGAAATTTAATGACTATTTTCCTTCAAAATGTGATGAACTAAGTCGTCCTTTAATTAGTATCCTAAGACAGACCCTGAATCATAAGGACTTTTGTTTTCCTGGACAATTCTCAAGCTCTGGCCAATTACAAAGAAATAGGTTCCTTGAATTTAAAAGTATCAATAAAATGTTTCTTCAGTATCAGTACATTTGGCCACTTCTTTAAAAAATACAGTAGTTTACCATTCACCTTTGTGAATGTATCTTTATTGTGTATCTTTTATAAGTATATTAGATAATATTGTATATAATAGTACTATACTGTCTCATTTACTCAGTACAGACTGTCTCATTTACTGCTTTAAACTATAGGCTAATGGTTCCTACAGACTGTCTCATTTCCTGCTTTTCTCTAAACTATAGGCATGATTCTGTGCACCATTGCAAAAGCACCAAGCAATGGCATTGTGAAGCAAAATACAGTCAGTGGAAATCCTTATTTCTCATAGGCACCATGTTGCTTTTTGCATGGATTACCATAGGAATAACAACCTAAATTCCATCTTCTGTCTTCATATCATCATAAATAGACTCAAAAGCAACAAAATATTAGTGTGTGTGCGTGTTTGCATGTGTGTGTATACACATATACATTTTGATAAGAAGGTTCCTAAAGAAGAATTGGCTTCTGCCTCTAATTTTTTTTTTTTTTTTTTTTTGAGACAGAGTCTCACTGTGTTGCCCTGGCTAGAGTGCTGTGGCATCATCCTAGCTCACAGCAACCACAAACTCCTGGGCTCAAGTGATCCTTCTGCCTCAGCCTCCCGAGTAGCTGGGACTACAGGCATGCGCCACCATGCCCGGCTAATTTTTTCTATATATTTTTAGTTGCCTGATTAATTTCTTTCTATTTTTAGTAGAGACGGGGTCTCGCTCTTGCTCAGGCTGGTCTCAAACTCCTGAGCTCAAACAATCCGCCCGCCTCGGCCTCCCAGAGTGCTAGGATTACAGGCGTGAGCCACCGCGCCCGGTCTCTAATTTTTTTAAAAAAACTATTCCCTATTAATTCTAGGGAGGTAAATAAGGTTTTGTTTGTTTGTTTTTGTTTTTTGTTAAGGTTCCAGCATTCTTTGAGAGTTCCATCTCAAAGATGGAAAATCACAGTGCCAACAAATGCTCCGGTATATGGAATAGCTTGCTGTTTTCTTACGTTTGTCAAAAAGGCTAGCCTTCTAAGTCCTGCTGAATAATGTAAGTACCAGCTCAAACGCCAGCAGGCCCGTCAGAAGCCAATTCATCCTGTGAAATTCGTTCTGCATCCCACGAGAGAGAGCACCTCTCTTTCATTTGGCCTGACAGTGAGTGGTGTAGGTAGCTCTGTGTTATTCTCCAATGAGATGGTCCTTTTGATCAGCATTTTCAGAGCCCTCCGCAGAAATGATCAGAGACTTACACAAGGAGCCAGACAAGATATTTTTATCTTTGCATTCTGTAGAAGTCTCTGAGTTTTGGCACATTCGAGTAGCTTTTCTTCTGTGATGCTTTGTGCTTATTTTCCTTTCCTGAAATTTGAACTCTATTTTGGAAATGATTCTAAGTATGAGATTGGTATTTGAAAAATCTCCATGAATCACTTAGTAACAAGTGACCACATGCTTTGCACTAAATTTCTTTCAAAATATCTTGCTAAAATTGAATCCTAGGCTAATTGCTATTTCCTTAGCATGAGAAAAAAATCCCTTTCTCTAAGCCAATTAGCTTTAGTATTCTAGACGTAAAATAGTTGCCTAAAAGCATAAAAGCATGAACTACTAGTTGTTTCCTGTTTAGTAGGAGAAATAAAACATATTTAACTTACTTTCCGCCCCAGTAGAGTTTAGTTGTTATGACCAGGCTGGACCTCCTGTATATCAAACAGACAAACACAGAGAAAATAAATAAATTGCAGGTTATTGTAATGAGTCATTTATTATCATAGTGCCACAAATAATTTATTATACCCTATATTTTAAAAAATTGGTAAAGGGATAAATTTGTTAATTCATGTCCACGAAATGTAAGGACATAAGGAAGCTGGTGAGTGGGAACTTGAAGTCAGATCCCAGGGGAAGAAGTTAAAGGGAGATGATCTTTGCTTAGAGAGGCCGGAGGATGAGAAGGGCAGTGACAGCAAGCCCAGGACAGCGGTGCCACGTGGAGGTGAATGGTGGGTGAGCATGGAGGGTCAGAAATGGCACATGGGAATGGAAGTGAAAGGACTCAAAGGATGGATTGCTTTAGCAGCTTACGAGAATAAACACCAATGAGCACTTATTCTAACGCTGACTGTATGTGAACTTTTCCTGGGATGAAGTCCACTCCCTGCCAAGGACCCCCAGCCCCTTATGGCTCTGAGTTATCCCCTCCAACCATCATATTCACAGGCAGGAACTGACCACATAGAAATATGAATCATGAAGTAAATTATATTAATCAATACATATATATTGAGAATAAATAGAAAAAACATTTCTTTGAGTGTCTTACTAAATGGAAATATTGTTTTGGGAAAACAGTCCTAAAATCCTTAATTCAAGCTTCTACCTCTTCACTTCCAAGGGACTGAAATGTGGAAATCTTGTCAGCAAACTTATGGGAAATGAAATTGTAGCATTATGATCATGGAATAAGAAATATGTCTTGAGAACTACAGGCATACAATTTAAAATTGGGAGGCATATCTCAGTGCAATTTAGTTTCCTTAGGTATGTAATTCGATTAAAGTGGTCTGGAAAAAAATTATCTGAGATTCAAAGGTTAAGTTCAAACTTCAGCAGTATTTGAAATAAGGGATTATAATTCCATCAGCTATAGAGTCAATGCCTTGGGGCTCTCAGGTATAAAAGCCTAGCATGATTAATGGTAACCAATGGGGAATGACGGTGACAATTCCAACAACTTGGTTGCAAGAAGAAAAATTTGTTGAAAATGTCAGCAACGCCATCCCACAGAAGTTAATTCCCTGAAAAGTAATTTGAATCACTGTAATGGAAGGTCCATAGATATATGCACCTGGAGATCACATACTCCAAAAGGGCTGATGTACTTTCCAGGTTAATACATCAACCTCATGATACCTATTATAATAGCCATCTGCCACAGGGGAGCCTCAGGTCTCCTTTCGCAAACACTTCCAAACTTCAATGAGAAGCTGGATGGAATATCATGAAAAATGAATGCAGCCCCTTTGATTACTCAGAGCAGTGAGTCCTGCCAAAGCTGCACATTCTACCCAAATACCACCACGGACTTATTTTTCCAAAGGTAGGCTTATTGGAAAATGTTTGTCCTATATGGGTGTGCACAATAACATTTATGTTCAAATAGCAAGAGTAGACAGCAGCCTGGAAAATTATCACTGACTCTCACAGAGGCTCTTAAATGTGGGTGGAGAATGATAATGCCAGTATTTTGTAGTGATACAGCACAGCCTCCAAAATACCTTTGCACACCTTATCTCACTTTGTCAGCATGACACTTTATGAACAGTTACGCCATCCATTTCATAGGTGGGGGCAATTGAGAATCAGAAAAGCGAAGTAACTTGCCCTGGATAGCACAGCTACCAATGGTAGCACCAGGACTAGAAGCCACATGTACTCATTGAAACAGCTTTTATAGGCTCAATGCCACAATGATATGGTTTATCTTTTCACCAGTCTTATGGGGGCAACTCTGAACTGATGTAAACATTCTGTAGTATGGTGCTAGCTTGAGCTTTTATTTGCAAGACTGAAAGGCAGTTCATGGAATATGCATGTTAATCTATTTTCTACAAAAGGAATATATAATAGATTCTGTGGCTATGGAGAGTGATGACTTAATATTCTCTGGGTGTCGAGGGGCAAAGAGCTGCTGCACCAGTGCTGCCCCTTCTCCCTCAGGTGATTTCTGGCAGCCTGCACCTCACCACAGACCTCACTGTATGGTTAGTGGACTTACATCCAAGGTTTCTGTTGTGGTGGAATTGTGTTCCCCAAAAGATATGTTTTAACTAACCTCCAGAACCTCAGAATGTGAGCTTATTTGGAAATAGAGTCATCGCAGATGTAATTAGTTAAGATGAGGTCATATTGGAATGGGGTGAGCCCCTAATCCAATATGACTAGTGTCCTTATAAGAAGACACACAGACGCACGAGGGGAGAAGACCATGGGATGGCTGAGGCAGAGCCAAAGTACTGCGGCTGCGAGCCAAGAAACGCCGAGGATTGCTGGCAACCACCAGAAGCTAGGAAGAAGCAAGGAAGAATTTTATGCAGAGTTTAGAGGGAGTATGGCTCTGCCAACACCTTGAGTTTGAACTTCTGGCCTCCAGAACTTTGCAAGAATAATTTCTGCTGTTTTAAGCCACCCAGTTTGTGGTACTTTGTTGCAGCAGCCCTAGGAAACTGAAGTGACCCCTATTTAGGTGGTGATGGATGAGCCAACATTCCGAGTGGGAAAGTAACTCAGGCAAGGTAGAGAACTGGGTGGGAACATGAATATTTTTCCATGTTTAAGGTGGAATATAATTTTCTGTTAACATCCTTACAGTTCCGTGGAGTGGGGGAGGAGGAGAAGGGAGAGGGAGAAAGTAGGTCATCAAACTTTATTTGTTCATTTCGCCATAAATGTCTGGTTTTCCTTTTCCATAAGGCCCTCTATTCCTACCAAACGTTTATCTCAGAGTGAGAAGTCAGCAGTGCCAAGCATATGTGGAGCTCTGTTCCACCCTTCTAGATTCCCCTTCCAGAGGGAGTTTAAATTATGTGGGCAAAAACATAATTAAACCACTCTTGAGCTGTGCTCTTTGACAATGTCCATGTTTCATAAATTTTAGAAAATACGTGCTGTCTATGCATGAGTACAAAGCTCTTTGCACAGTCATCTTCACTAATTCTATAGCACTGTTATTTATTTGGCCATCAGCCGATATTACACCAGAGCAGAGGAGGACCCTAAACTTGTCTAACGATCTTTGCTGTGCTTTGCCTAATTCTGTGCTCGTGCTGGGGAAGCAGCGCTGTTGCGGCTGATGTCCCGAGTGAAATGCAGGGGGATTGCCTCCCACCCCAGCGCAAATGCTACAGCTTCCCTTATTATTATACCTTCGGCTTGGGCTACAGAAGGCAATGGGATGAGATGCGTAAGCACAGCCCCTTTTGTTTCTTGGAGGGACCCCTCAAGGATAGCAGATGAAGCACTTTCCTGAATACCCAGCTAATAGGGCTCCTGAGCACACAGGAGAGGCAATTATCTTAATTGTGCTCAGATAAGAAAGCTTTGGGATGTTTATCCCAAGGGCTTCCTGTTTCATCATTTCTTTGTATCCAGAGTTGTTAATAAAATGAATAGGAAACATAAATACGTGCATATAGATAATCAGCTTCCTGCCAGCTCGCTTCCTTCACCAGATTACCACAAATGGCGGTCAGAAGCCATGAAAATGTCACTTTGTTTTATGCACAATATCTTATGAACATTCCCTCCTTGACTGCTCAGCCCCATGGTAATTCATTGTGATCAGTGACTAGTCAATAATTTTTCAAGCATGAGTAATAAACTCACTGGCATTTATTTTCAAGCCATTGTAAATCATTTCTTTACTAAGAATTGCCTTTTTTTTTTTTTTAAAGTCTTTTGGTCAGGTGTCATATGATTTTATTTACCCTTCTCTGGTGCAAATAATAAGTCTTCTAAAAGGTAAGCAAACAGTTACGGTAAATGCAGTACCTCCAGCCCTTCTTCTTGATGATGCTGCCCAGAATCACTTCAGCCCTGGAGGGGAAACAGACACGTTTTAGGATACAGTGCCCTGGAAAAGCAAGAGTCAATCCAAAATAACAGAGCCACTCCTTGTTTGAACTCTCAGTGCCTACATAGCCCGAAAATAGAAGCCACTCTCGGCTGGCAGCATGGTTTCTGCTGTTTCTGCTTGTGCCTGCAGAATCCCGCTCCAGAGCATTCCAGAAGCACCTGCCAAGTCCTGACACACTGGCAGGAGACCACTGCTGTCCTCACGCTAAGAGACAGCAGAGTCATTTGGCAGTTTGGCGTTTCTGAACCACTGATCCCATATAGTAATATAAATATCCTGCTAGTTGGTGTCCAATGGGACTCAAGGTTTTTCTTCTAATTGCTGTGGAGCAATTCAGTTGTGATGGGGGGCAGGGGGACAATGAGACCTCACACTGTTTAGACAGAAAATATTGACTCCTGGGTGATCTTGCAGGCTAAGCAAAGAATCCATGTGTGGGTTTAGATGTCCCAAAGGCCAGGGCTGTAGATGGAGTGGCTCACATAGAGAATGTCCTGCATTCCAGTGACAAACTTTGTCATTGGAGCAAGATAGAAGGAGATATAAGGAAGTGTTCCTCCTTCCCCTAAGGCCGGGTCATGGAGGGGCGTATTGAAGACATCCACTGTCCTCTCCCTTTCACCTTCCCCAGCTGGGACCCGAGAATGAGGAAACAAAAATGTTCTTCTATGTCCCTCTTAGTAAGACCAACATTTGAGAAGCAGCTGGGCCCTCACAGGCATTGTGAACTGGCGCTTTGTCCACTGGGGTGCTGTGGGTGGGAGTTACCACAAATGGTTATTGGTCTTAACTGAAAGTTCTGTCTCTGTTAGAGTGTACAACCTGCAGTAAGCCATGATGCGGGCCAGCTGCGGAGTATGCCCCAGATAGACAGGCACTGGGTGTTACACTGGTGTTCTTTTTGCTTTTCCCTGTCTCTCTGACTGTTGCCTTTGCAACCTTGCATTTCACAATGAGAACATTTCAACTGCACGCTGACAATCAATCAATAATTAACCAGACAACTATCCTTCTCAGTAGGAATGTAAACAGGACTCTAACAGACTTGCTACTCACTCCTCCCTTTTTCTACCCTGGCCCCATTTGGTACTAAGCAGGGAAGGGGTAGGAGGTAGAAAGGAGCAAGGCTCTACAAATATTACTCTCTGGCCTTGGAGTCAACAGAAAGCATCAGAGATGTGTACTCCGAACCTCCCTGATGGTTCTTAAAGATAGACCTGTTCTTCAAAAGCAGGAAACCCATGCAAGGCAAATGCACTTAGATAGACCATATGATGATCAACCTTATTCAGAGGGCCCAGCAGTTTGATTGTAATTTCCACCTGGAAGGTGAATTAGTCCTACAGATGATTGTTCTCCACAGTCCTGTTAGAAAATTTCAGAGCTGCTCAAACAGCTGGGCAGCAATTTAGTTTCTTTGGTTCCGGGAGTGGAACATTCATGTTCACAGTAGGAGGCCAGGGAGCTCAAGATCTATTCCGAAATGTGCTGATTATGCTGGGATCTGGACAGCATGGACCTCAAGGCCTGGCCTAAGGGCATATTAGCCAGGGTAACGCCCTGTCCTAGGGCTCCAAACCTGCCTCGGGCCCAAGAGAAGGTCTGCCACTAGATGTGACTCCTCACGCAAAAAGAAGTGAGGACTCTCTACAGCCCTCCCCATCCTCAGATTGGGCTCCAAAACACCCTCTTATAAAAGATACTAGATTCCTTGGCATCTTTGGGGATCCTAACTTTGAGGTCTGATCTTCCTGTATTGCTAGTGAAGGGACAGGCTGGTAAACAGGAAAAACAGTCCCTTCTTCCCCCAGAGGGAGGACATCCCAGCTGAGGGGGTTGAGGAAACATGACATGCGGTGATGAAATAACAAGAATAGCTTTTGAACAACCATCATGGAATCTGTTCATTCATTTACTCACTCATGTGCTCTACTAACACTTCTCCATCTACACTGCTGCCACTCTGGCACCATCCTCCCCTGCCCCTCAGGCAGACCATGGCAATTGCTTGCTGATACTACCTCCCTCCAGTCCATTCTTCATTCAGGGACCAGAGGAGGGAAGGTTTGGGTGGGCAAAGGGGGCCAGAGATGGTCAGTGTCCCCAGTTCCAGCGATGGTGGTAGAGGGAGGGAGGGAGAAGGGGAGCATAGTGGTACCACCAGCATGTGGGGGACGGCAGACCCTTCCCAATGACATGTAAGAAATGGTCTGGGCAGAGTCTCTTGGTTCCACAGATGCCACCTGAGTGACACAAACAGGCCCAGACTTACTTTCCAGCAGCGTAGACCTCAGCAGTATCAAAGAGATTAACGCCACTTTCATAGGCGATTGTCATCAGCCGTTCAGCAACCTGCAAGAGGGTGAGAAGGTCAGTCAGAAAGGCCAGATGCTTTCCAAACCTGGGAAGCAACTTTGAATCCTCTACTGGTCTTTAAGAACACTAAAATCTCACTAACCACTCCGAGTTTTTCTCAGTTATAGTGAAGAGAGAGAAAAAAAGAAGGGTTGAAGCATCCTTTCCCTGAGACACAGAGGGGGCTAAGGGATTGCCCCCAAGGCTGGGATTAAGTCTGCCCTCAGAGGCAATGAGGTGGATGGATTTGTGTTTCTTACTCTGCTGGGAAGACCTGGTTTGACAACATTCTCTGTGGCACCATAATCTCTCTGACAAAGGGGATCATTTGTATCACTGGTGACTCCATCCCTCAACTCCTTTCTCCAAGCCAATAGGTTTTGGCAGCTGGCTGACTCCTGACCTAAAAGCTTGTGACTTTTCCCCCGAGGCTTAGAGGGAGCTGTGACTATTGCAAAACTCCTGACACCCACAGTTCAGCAAAATCCTGTCACAGAGTGACCACTGAGCCAACACCAAGGAGGGAGTGAGCGCCCTGACCCACCAGGACCTGCTCCTTATAGTTCGGCCTGAAAACAGCTCTCAGGGATCCTCATTCCCAGCTTTGCATTGCTGAACAGAGTGTCACGTGTGACAGAAGTGTAGAGAATAGCTATGCACAACAGCTTGAGGGGTGGCCGTAGAGGGACAGTGACAAACCACAGTGGAGAGGGCCCATTCTTTCATTTTGCTGATGGACTTATTAGCCGTTTGAAAAATACACATGTCATCAATAATTACAATTGCTTTTCCATTATGTTTTTGACGGTAGGCCATCCAAATGCTTCATCAGCATTTCCAAGATAAACTACTTTTCTGTTGCTTTGAAAATTGGCCTACCAAGGAAATTATTAAGCTCCCAAAATGGAGTCCATGCCTATCCTTTAGCATAACAGGAGCACAGATGCTATTACTGCTTTTAATTTGCTACCATCATAACATTTATCCTAACTAGAGATCAAAAGTTAAGACAAATATAGTTTTCCCTGTTATGACTGTCCCATGTTTTAGCAATTATTGTGCTTGTGTTGTACATTAGCCTGTGTCATGTCAGGTAACATACTCTTATGTTAATATTGGGAAATCTCCACTATTAAATCTTATCTGGAGAAAAATTTTAAGAAAGATGAAGGATTCTGGAAGGAGATCTGAACAAAATGCTGTTTTCCAACCATAGCATTTGAAGACCTGAATGTGGAATAAAGGAAAAACAAATCACCAACTAAGTCCGAAGACAGGTTTCCGGTCTTGAGTGTCCCACTTACTAGATAAATAAATGTAAGCAAATCATTTGACCTCTCCACTTGACCTGCACACTCTGACCTGGGCAAGCTGGGACCATTGTAGGAGACAGCACACACCGTGAAGGGGAGAGCAAAAACTAGGGGAAATGCTGCACATACCCTTGGCCCCTCTGCTCGGAAAGGGAAGATATTTTTTTCTTTTCCCCCTCCCAGCACCATCCCAGGCAGTGGTAAGTTACACGTGTGCTAGATATGATAGATCATTAATTGTAGTCCTCTCTCCCTACTTGCCACCTATTTTGCGTTGACTTAAAGTCTGTGGCCTTTGCTCTACTGTCCCTTGCTTTGCCTCTGTGCCCGTTCCAAACACCCTTACCTGACGCCAATCAGAGAGCTCCACAGTAGACTCTGTGATGTGCCACCCAGGTCCTCCTTCAGAACCCAAGAACTTTTTCCTAGAGCTGTTGGGAATGCTGCCATCAAATGGCCTTCAGCTGTCATCTCTTTCTGGAAATTGCACTTGGCTAGAGTTACTAAGCCCAAGGTCAGGCCTGTTTCCCAGTCAGCCTCTATCCAATGACTGATCAGTACAAGGAATATAAAGGCCCAGTCCTTTTGTCCCAACTTGGGACATATCTGCAGGGCCATCTCAGGTTCAGAGCTCCCCCAGTACTGCTTAGGTCATTGTTGAGGCTGCCTCATGGGCCGAGGTCTCTGCCTGTTCAGCGCTGCTTCCTTCCCCACCCTGTGCTGATCGTGAGGGCACTTCCTGATAACATCCTGCATGCCACTCTCCACTTCAGAGTGCACTTCCCAGGGAGCCCCCGTGAGACAAGGCCTCTAAGGGGACCTGTGCCCAATACTGGGAACAGGCCTTTAGATTGATAAGAAGACACAGTTAAGACCTCTTCCCCAGATCTGCTAAGTAACACTGGTGACTTTGGGAGCAGTGGGAACAGCTTCTGTTCCTCCAGGTGTCTCCTTAGGAATGAAAGTAAGAAGCACCTTCGTAAAGGGCTGGTTCTGGGCCTGGCACTCGGCTAAGCTCTTTACAGGTATCATCTCACTAATCTTCACCACAATCTTGCTGAGTAGAGGGTATTTGCATTTTACTGGTCTGGCAACTGCTAGTAAATGTATTATAAATGTTAGTAAATCAGGCTGGTTAGTGGCAGATGGGACTGGATCCACTCATACCCACTCTCCTTGACTCCTCAGTGGCCTTGCAGTTGGGCTAGGAAAGGCCAGAGGGACTCAGGGCATTGCCCACAGTGGGGTTCTTGGCATTCCATACCTGCACATCTCACTTATGCCGTGAAGGTGTTCCTTAAAGACAGTGGTAAAAATATCACTTTGGTAAGCATTGTTTTGAATGTATAAATGATGATCTAAGGGAATTTTATGGTAAATATAACTACGATAGCTGCCACTTATCGAGTGTCTGCTACCTACCAGTCAGAGGGCAACATAAATGTCTGACATGCATGATGTGTTAATCCTTTCAACAAACCTTCAAGGTCAGCGTTATCATCCCATTTTACATAGGAGCAACTGAGGCTGAGAGAGCTTGGATTAATTTGCCCAAGCCTGGGTGACCAACTGCCCAGTCTTCCCAGGACTGAGAGAATTTCTGTGATGTGGGCCGTCAGTGCCAAAACTGAGAAAGTCCTGTACGAAATGGGACCAGTTGGTCACCCTAATTGGAGCTAAAAATAAATAAATACATACATAACACAAAACCGTGCAATAACAGCAATAAAATCTTTTCATGAAATGACTAATGTTAATTCCAACCAATTTATTCTCTAACTGTTCAACCTGCACACATAATAGATTGACAGACTCAAGAGCTATTAATAGTCTAAATGTGAAAAATACAAGACGCAAGATAAAATCGATAATAATCTTCAAGTCAATCTTAACCATTTCCTGTGATTTAAACATTATCCCTGTAAAATGCCAGGGTCCCTGGAAGAGTACTCCTACTGTATAGCTCTCTCTACATTTTCTTTCAGCAGCATAATAGAGGCCAATAGTAACTTACCTCATCTGAAATTTGACCTCCAAATGTCACCCATGTTCCTAGAAAAGAATAAATATTTGTACATTATTCATAATCATTTTTCCAATATTATGCATAATAAGAAGAAACTCTTTCTTATCTCAGGGATACCTTGATAGAGTACACAGGTAGTTCACAAAGGTGCCTGGATAGGGGCACATGTTGGGCTGCTCTCTAGCCTGTGCTCCTTCCCTAAGTATTCCAGAAGGGGTCTGTGTCCCTCTGGAGGAAGGGGTGCCTTTTCTTCACTTGAAGCCACCATATATTCTAATAGCACCACTGTCCTAAAAGATGCTTTTTCTTCTGCTATGGGAACATGAATGCCAGTTGACAAGGAGGTGGTGTTATCAAGCCTGCTTTGGCTACACACCCATTCTTGCTCTCACTTAGCTAAGAAGCCACTTGTTCTGAAAATGAAGGTAAGACTTTGGGTTATGGTTCTTCTTGTCTTTGCTCCGAAAATGGGCCTCCATTTTGTATTCTTTATTAATGTTTCAAAAGGAATCCTCTCAGATGTCCTTCCAGTGCTCACTTACAAGACCTAAGAGGTGACACTCAAATACTTTCTCTGCTATGACCTGGTACTCCAAAATGGAAATCTCCATCGTTTTGGGGTTTGGGAAGGCAAAGGAAGAGAGGAATAACCAGCAGCCAAAAACTTGAATTTGTAAAGCAAGAGGGATGCAGACATAGAGTGTACACTTGTCATGCCAGTCTCCAATCACTTCATTCATCCGTTCCCTCTTTTACCCATTTTTTTGAACCCTAATTACATGCCAAGCAAAGGCATTGTACCCATGTGCAGGGGACAATGAGGTGATTGACCCAGTTCCTGTCTCCAGAGCTCACGGTTTACGATGCTACTCGATAAATGCTACAGCTGAGGCAAACACCCGGCAGTAAGAGAGGCAGTGCTCTACTTAAACTGGAGGGAAGTGGCACTCAAGAAAGAAGTCCTAGAAGAGGAGACACCTTGGTCAAGTATCACGGGAACTAACTGAATGAAGAAGGAAGGGACAGGCATTTGGGTAGAGGCAAGGAGGTAGGAGACTTTGGAATGTGCTGAAGAGCCTGGGCCATAGGCCACGTGGTGAAACACGGGAGCCCAGCGGGAGGGGCGGCAGGAGCGGTGTTTGTGGGGACATACAAAGAAACTCTGCTGGAAGCATAGTTCACATTTGATAATAACAGCTATAGCTACCATTTATGGAACACCTTCCAAATGCCGGACAGTGCTTCCAGAAATTTTATATATTTTATCACCAATCATTTTGACAAACTCACAAGGCAATTTTATTATCCTTATTTCCGGATGAGGAAGCAAAGATTAACCAGCCTAGTAGGTGAAATACCCAGGATTCCCCAAACATGATTGGCTTCAAGAAGGGTATCCTTTTTGCCACACTACACTGCCTCATTAGAATATTTCCAAATTAATTATGCCACTTGGATTTCATACTCTATAGAAGTATCTTGGTGTAATTGCACCTTTTCTTTTAGTTGTCAGGGACTAAAACAAAAGTAGGGTCTAAATTATTTTACTGGTACACTCTACATGCCCTGAGGTTGCAGACTGGTAGCCCACAGGTCGCACTCAGCTTGTGGACTTTTTTTGCTTGACTGGAATGGTGTTGACCCACTTTGTATTTTAATAAATTTTGAATAAGTTACCAACATTTAGACAATTAGGAGATTTTTCTTAACATGTTTTGATTTCCAGCTTCTCTCAACAATGTAGGGCTGGTGTCCCCACAAGGTAGATGTCCCCTAACTCTGAGGAGCAGACCTCTTGTGGAAGGACTGTGTCCTCCCCAGTGAGTGAAATCCCCAACATCTTCCTGTTGTGGGGGCACTGAAATCAAATAGCAGTTGCTACTTACTACCATGTTGACTGCTGTTTTTCTAACTATAAAATGAATAGGAAAATGAACTTGTGCATCTCCTAAAAAAGAGAATTGAGTATTATAAGAAAAACATAGGAGTGCACCTTTTTTTGGTGGATGAAAAGAACACCCAAACAAAGAATGTTTGCACAGAATAATTACATATTAAGGCACCATAATAAAACCAACCATGACTGGTATACAGAAAAGATGGGTGTTGGAAAACTTAATGAACTGAAGAAATGGCAGCATTTGTTTTTGAATGAGAATAAAATAAGGGAGCTGCTATAAAATACAGTTCTCTATTAAGGGAAAAAATTGCCTGGGCATCAAAACCTTTTTACAGACAACACATTTATAAAAGAATCTCTTCTGAGATTGCAGAAATTATGTGTCCAGAGCATCAACGAGCATTTGCAAATGTTAGTCTAACCAGCAACTTTGTAGTTCAGCATGTTAAAAATATGATTGAGAACTTTCAGGACAAGTTAAATTATGGGTGGCATTTTCTCTTGCAGCAAATGAGAACACAGATATAAATAATAGCACACTGTTAACTATATTTATTTTTGGTGCAGTGAGAATTTTGAAGAGGTCAAAGAACTTTTGGACAAGAATCCAATGAAAGGCAAAACATCAGGAAATGGCTTACTTTGTGTGATAAAAAGGTCTCAGACCACTGGATGTAGAATGTGCTGGTCAAAGTCACTTTGTGTTACTGCAGATGGAGTCTCAGGATGGGTGGGATTGAGGTCAGGGCTGTTGAGCCACAGACCAGAGGTGGCACTATTTTGTAGGGACACTATCCCTAAGTCCATTAATTTCCTCATTCATCAAGAATCGCTTTGGGCAAAAAGCTAAAATGGGACAAGCCGTGGATTCAGTAATTAATATCACAAATTGGCTATTCTTCTATGTCTTCGAAAAAAATCAGGTCAGCGTTTGCTTAAAGAATTTGCTGGCTTACTTGTGCTGTGGTGCAGAAGAAAAGTTTTTTTAACCATTTATGTCATCAAAAGGAATAGTCCTTTTTCCACTTAGCCGTAAAGATTGGCCCAAAGTCCCGAGCTTCTTGCTTATACTACAACTCATCTGCACCTTTGGAATATTTTTCTACAGAGACATTCACAAGTGTTTGCACGAATGTCTCATTTGCTTCTCTCAGTCCTGACAAAATTGAATCTTTGGGAAGTTAATTTGCTGAGGAATAATTTGGTCTACTTTCCTACATTGCAATCAGTTTCCAGAAATGAAAATGATAGCCTAAAATGCATTCTTTATTACTGTGCTGTTGAAACCCAGATTCTAAAAAAGTCCTCTGACTTCAAACTTTATGAAAAGAAACTAGCATTACTTCGCTTACCTTTCTTAATTAATTTTGATAGTACAAATGAAGAGTTATGATTTGAAGTTATCAAACTGTAGTACAAAATGGTACCAAAGACTAAATAGAACAACGTTGAAAGGCAGGATTGGGTACACATCTTGGAGCGGGTTGTTCTACAGATAAGAACCATTTACAATGGTTCCATCCATGTTGGAAGAGCAGCTCTATTTCAAAATTAATCTGACAAAACAGCCTACCAGTCCTGGCTTAAGTGTTTCAAGCTGCATTCTCTACATCATAGTGAAAAAATACAGGGCCTGAAAGATGGTTAGGTACAAAAGAAAAGATGTCACGTTTCTGATTCCAAGTCAAAGCAGTAATGAATTATGAAAGAAAAATACAGTAATAATTAAATGTTTTTCTTTTTCAATTAGTTTAAAAATTTTAAATGAAATAGTATATGAATATCATATATATTTACATAAAATTACCCGCCTACATCATAACTTAATAAAAATAAATGTTCGTTTCCATTTCTGGAAGTTTGCCGTTCTTAGAATCAGCTCACTTTGCTTAGATATACCAAACTCTCTGGCCCTTTCAACACTTGCTACTCATTCGTTTTCTATCTATTTGTCTATAGAGTTTATATCTTTTATTAGAGAGTAAGCTGTCTGAGGGCCAGGATCTTACTTTATTCATTGTTCTTATCTCCACGGCCCTAGATAGAAGTGGATCCTGAGTAGATGGTTGATAAGTGTTGGTTATATTGAATTAAGTTGCCCTCTTAACTGTTATCAACCTTCAAAACATTGGAATAATTTCCTACCAAACATGTTTATTTCTATTTGTAGAAAAATGAATGATGCTCATCAATATTCTTCAGTTCTTCTAGTCCCCAGATGATTGAAATGTTTCTCTCCATCCCTGGGTACCCACCCAGTCATGCCCCCTCCTGGAGAGGGTCCGGGAAGGGCCTCCTGCCTGGCTACAAGGCCTCTATCGAGGACAGGGTGTGGCCCAGTGTACAGAGCATCTGCTGACCACCCCTGAGGATGAGTTGCCACTTACAAACAGGACAAATTGCCTCCTGCTGCACAGAGACATACAGCAGCCTTCTAGATGGGGAAACTCTGTTTCTTTGATTTTATTCCTACTGCACCCTACTGCAGAAGAGCTAAGGTGGTTTATTTGTTAATACGATTCTCAAGAACCCTCTGCTACAATTTTCTTAACCACTTTTCTGCCTCTAATGAGATCATGCCTTCCTGAGACCTAGGATGTCATATGAGTATTTCACTGTGGAATCACAAATCAGTGGAATGTTACTTAGAAGATAATTTTATTAAACTGACTCTTCTTATTTCTAGCCTTTTAAAAGCAGAGGGAATATAAAGAGAACTGTTGAACTGTTATTGTATCTTCTGATGAAACTCCTTCAGGCACCATGGAATACATGCTTTGAAAACCTCTGTTAGGTCCCTTGGCATACACCCCCCATGGCATAGAAACATGATGCATGAAATGTAAAAAGAAGAAAACTGCCCACACATGCACGTGCACACACGCACACAACCACCTTGGTTACACAGGTATCTTTTGGTGATTAACAGGGTAATTGCTTCTTGCTTATTCATTCTAGAAACATGCTCGTCATTTAAACGAGCTCCTTGCTTTGAGTATGAAGTGGTATTTAGACATTTAGATGTAATAAGGTTAACGTCTTACATCACCATAGTTCAATTATCAAAACCAGGAAATTAACAATGGTACAGTTCTAGTACCACAGGCCTTTTTTGAATTTCATTAT